TGAGTTCACGTTTCGAGCGCCATTTTGAATAGATAAGCCACGCGATCAAAACGTCCAAAAATCTTGGAGGTTTTGATCACGTGATTCCAGCCAACGCCAGGGTCATCTCCCCGACGACCGCCATCTTGAAAAGGAGTCGGCCGATATGGCCCTGGGGACGAGGTTGCTACCTTTCAAGATGGCGCTGGGAATATCAATGTACTGACCATGAAGAAACTGTCACAATTGAAAATAAGAACTAACCTCGCATTTTCCTTTTATGCAGARATTTTTTATTCTGCTATCGGAAGAACATCTCGTCCCGTCGGACACTTCACCGTYTGCGTAAAACATACTCGATTTAATACATGAAAGAGCACAAGGATCTGGCTTAAAGTATGCCTTAGTTCCAGGACGTTTGGCTTCGCACTGGCTGTCACGGTAAGTTTTGGTTCCTTTTGGACAATCCTTAAAGGATCAGAATATACAATGAATTCACATTGAATCTGAAGAAAGGCTAGTAACGAGGTATATTTTTTTGCTCTTGATCCGGATCAAAAGGCTAAAAACGTGATCCCAATCTCAAAATTCCGTACATTCCTTACAGAATCGTTGAAAAGAAATCATTGATCCCGATCTCAGTTGAAAAACCTTTGATCCAGGCTAAATCCATTTGATCCGGATCCTGAGCCTAAATCCTGATCTCAAAATAGCCCAAAAACTGACTGATTTATCTTCACCAGCAATATTCGCGTACATCTCTGACACAGGGTGACCATGACTACATACCGTCTTGTTGCATATTGCATAATGGCCAACATCACTGCCTTCACATTTTGATCCTCCCCCTTSTGGTCTGTTAAGATAAAGTTCAATCGGTGGACGGTTACTAAGTTTGTACTTTAGTGCACGTGATACCCTTATTACCATATACATTTACTCAAAATTCTCATAAATTTAAAGCAACTATTTGTCAAAAACGCGAGAGTTCTGCTTGTTCCAATAATTSGCGAAATGAAGTGCCTGCAACAATTCGTACGAATAAGGTATTTACAAGGTATGCAAACAATTTTCACTCTTCGGATCCTCCATTTTGAAATGGTGTTTTGTCAGTCTGTGCCCATGTGAATGTGTCTGTAGAGGAAAGCCTATCTATCTACAAGTCTTCTATTAAAATTAGACTTTCTTACTTGGGATTGGTACAGGTTCGCGTTCTCCACATAACGCCTCCACCACAAGTCTGTGTGCATGTGGTAAAACCAGACCAGTTGCTCCACCCACCGTCAATCATTGGGGATCCATCGTCCACGCATTCTCCTTTAATACACCACTAAACGGAGAAACATGTCAATAATATCTAGTACAAATATATCGCCAAAACTTTCTAAATAACGTTGTTAATTGTTTAAAGCCCTAAACGTTAATACTGGGTCAATAGTACTTTGTTTTTTAGGAGTAAAGCCGAGTTTATAAGATCTTGGTTTACTTACATGTCTGTCACCACATCGAGTACCATCCATAGGGGGAGTAAGGCGACCCATACAAGTAGACCCACCATTATTTGTGCAAAGAAGTGAAAGACATCCTCTCTTAGAGGAAAAAAAGATTATTTACTGTAAGCAAAGCTACAAAAGAACAACATAAATAATATTACTCAGTTTTAGTCTGGGCTTAGTGCTACGGATTACCTGTGTAACATGCGCACGCATGTAAAGTGTAACACGTGCGAATAAAACCTAGTCAACGACATCTTGAGTGTTTGTATGTTAGCCATTCTAGTAAATACATGACAATTTTGGCGACGAGGACGGGARAACTAGGATTCTTCGAAAAAATAAACACATCCTAATCCTTATTAGACGTGCCAGACGAAGTGCCAAGAGTCTCAAACATCGGGAGGAGATAAACCGGCCCTACTTTCAACGCAGAAGTGAGCTTACAGTCCACCAAGGTTGTATTCTCTGGGGGACGAGAGTAGTTATCCCTCATAAMCTACAGGAGAGGATGTTTGAGGAGTTACTTGACAGTCACTTAGGAATTGTCAAAATGAAAGCTTTAGCGAGAAGCTATGTGTGGTGGCCAAACATCAATCAACAGCTGGAAATGGTAGCTAAGTCTTGCTCTGGTTGTCAACAGAATCAAAAGTTGCCAAGCAAAGTACCGCTACACCCGTGGGAATGGGCGACCTTRCCATGGCAACGCATACACATTGATTTTGCTGGCCCATTCAAAGATTCTATGTTCTTCGTAGTTGTGGATGCTCACAGCAAATGGCCAGAAGTTATTCCAATGAAGTCAACTACATCATCAAAGACCATCGAAGTCCTGAGAAACCTGTTTGCTCGTTTTGGAATTCCACAACAACTTGTAAGTGACAACGGTCCGCAGTTTGTGTCAGACGAATTCCAGACCTAATTCATCAATTATAGAAACACTCCTCATTTAACCACAGGAGAGAGTCCAGCGCAAATGATGCTCGGAAGACCGTTACGTACTCGTTTGMACCTAGTCAAACCTAACAGGAACCGGAAAATGTTGAACAAGCAACATGAGCAAAGCATGCAGTCAGCKCTTCATAATGCAACTCCAGCCAGACAAATTGCYCTTAGAGATACTGTCATGGCTCGTGATTACAGAGGAGATTACAAGTGGCGTCAAGGCCAAGTTATTGAGAAGACAGGCCCTCTTATGTACAAAGTCCAAGTCTTTCCAAATCTGATTTGGCGCCGACACGTTGACCAACTTCTTCCAACAATGATTCAACAGAGAGTTCCACAAGACAGTGACATCAGCGAGCATTTCGACACAGCGAAAACAGTTCRAGATCCTGAAGTCCCAGCTCCCATTGAAAACCTGCCGACTGAAACAAACTCACAGGAAATGAGAGCGGAGCAATCCGTTATCATCAACATTCCTGCTAGGACACCAACACCTGCGCAAGCAGCAACACCRYTTGAACYACGTTATCCACAGAGGGAGCGCAAAGCACCACAAAAACTTGACTTATGAACTTATAGCTATGTTATTGTAACAGGACAGAAAACCTTGTTGTTATATTGTTATTTTTTATTCAACATGTTATGTCAATGTAGACTGAAAGACAATAGTGGGAAGGAATGTTACGGATTACCTGTGCAACATGCGCACGCACGTAAAGTGTAACACGTGCAAATAAAACCCAGTCAACGCCATCTTGTTTGTATGTTAGTCATTCTAGTAAATACATGACATTTAGTGTAGGTACGCAGTAAGCACATTCAAATGGAATGGCTGTTAGGACAGCTTCGCATGAAGACTAATATGGTTGTGTTAGCCATTGGGGGATGGTTTAGTATATAGTGCACAAATTCTCGGTAAACAATGCATCAGTCAATTTTGCTTTCACTMCTATGACTAGATTATCGCCCCAATTATTCTCTGCAGAAAAGCGAGGTCCGCATTGTATTATAGAGATGTTTGTGTCAAGGAACATACCTTTCTTGGACATTGTACAAATCCTTTTCTGTACTGCAACTCGCATTGTGCATTAGCATCAAAGATCTGTCCAGGAAGTTTATTGCGGTACTCCGCTGGAATTGGTAATGCAATCGTTGGTGCTTGGTTGTTTAAGCAAGACGAGCGGTCGCTTCTGGCGTTATATAAAAAATAAAGATGCAATATGTGGAAATACATTTGAAAATTATTATGAAAAGATGAAAGGCATCCCATTAGTTCACACAACAATCCAGTATTATTTATTAAATTTGCGACTTTTTAGGGCAAAGCACATGGAAAAACAGATAATATTGTGAATCATTGAACAATATCAGTCCAACTTACGAGAGAAAATTTTGAATGATTTTCTTAGAGCATTTAGACCAYGTCATAGCACTTTTGCCACTTGTCATTGTAGTGGACATGGTGTTCAAGTAGTTTGGGCATCCGTAACTGGAATCATGGTCGACTCCCAGTCTGGGAAAGTTTAGATCAAATGAATAATAACATGATATAGGAAATGCTTGTTTCTAGATCTAAGCACGAATCATTGCCGTTATAAAGTATAGTCATGATTGTCAAGACTATCAAAACTCTCAAACAACTGGCAGACAACAGCGTGGGCTCACGATGAACAGAAAATTGCATGCTGGAAAATGTAACTTACGTGTGGGCGACTTCATGAGCGGTCATGATAGCCGTCGCAAGTCCAGCATCGTTGTTAACCGCTTGACCAAAGTAACTTGAACATGTAGAAGATACCCTTGCAAGTCCTATGAAATGTGTACCACATACATTAACCTACTATGTGTTAGAAACCAATTATTGTTCAATAAMCTATCTGAAGCTATACGAATATATSTTTTWATTTTTTTTCGGTCAGGTATCCTAGTCATTCGCGCGCTGTGATTGGCTAGCGRGCGATCCGGTTTTTCACGATCTGCCCGGTCCAKGGTATCCTGCAGCTAGGCTGCGAGCAAAGTTGCATAAAATACAAATGAAAAAAATTGAAATGTTATTTACCGYCTATAGGCGTTCCGTARTGTCAAGACCTCGGGCAGTGTTTTCCTATATGGACCTCCCAGCCGGTAAATAACATGTATATATGACCAAAATGGTGGAAACTAGCGGTAAACTATTGTGAGATGCGTCGGTGTTTCTAAAGAAACAATTCTGTAAAAATTTTAACACCGTAAAAAAATAGGTGAAACAACTTACTGACGTTTCGGACGTTAATTCTCCGTGGGAGTAAAGACGAAGTACTAACGTCCGAAACGTCAGTAAGTTGTTTCACCAATTATTTTGCGGTATTAAATTWATCTTTTTACACATCTGTTTATGCGAGCAATATTGTGAATCATAGTATATAGTTTGAGTTGTTACTCACCTCCTTGTATTCCCCTAAAGGACGGTAATAATAAAATGATCTCTGTGAGCTACTATAGACTCAGGGTCATGTAACAATATCAATATACACATTGATTATTTCTGACTTTAATAAGAGTTATATAATGTAATTACGATGATAATGATTACGATGATTGCAATGATGGTACTGATGCTAATAAATCATTAATACTTACGTCGTCAAAAGGACCAATACGTCAGCATGGTTCTTCTTGCCGTTTGTTCTTTCAATGTTATTATCTCCCCAGGTACCAAGTTTGCTAAGTCTACTACCAGTGCRATCCCTTTTATCAATCTTGAGCTTTAAAGCACGAGATAAGCCGAAGTATAAGTGAATGGAGACAGAAAGGAGAGAAAAAGCTTTGCATKAGACAGAGCATGAGAATATAAATGAACGAATAATAATTAATCGGAACGGATTGAAAGTAAACAAGGAAAATCTATACGTTCAAATTTATTTTACATGTTGCGGAATGAGGGGAGCTATTTTGGAATTGACAGGGCTACTCAGCTTTTCCTGACTGTACTAAATAACTAATCACATAGCTGCTTATTCTTCTTGTCAGTATGTTTTTGTTTTTTCTCAATCGTTCTTTTTTCCTTTTCTCTTTTTTTCTTTTTTCAGAACATTTTCTCACATAAACCTGAATAAAAAATTTTTTTTTCTTCATTGTCTTGTTATAAACTTTTACATTTTGTAATCTAAATTAGTATTTATAGCGGGCATCGCCCTGAATAGTCTTAACTAATTGCGATGCCCGCTAACTACTCATGTGTAAATTATTATTATTTATTGAATTAAACTTGTAAACTTGTAACTTGAAAGAAAAAGGGATAAAAGGGAGAAATGGGACGATTTTTTTGATTACCTCGTTTCCTTTATCTAAAACAAGTTTTACAACCTCAATGTGCAACTTTTTATCCCCAACGCTGGGATCTTGAAACATAGCATCAACCTGCCGTAAGAGACATCAAAATCTAAATATCATCATTTTCCCCTTCGAGTTCTTAAAATATAAGCCAAAGCTTAAGGAAGTTAACATTTTGAAGCTGCTTACAAGATGAACGATCATCTTCAGATAGGAACTAATTATGTCCTTGAATTCCTTCTTTTCTTCAAGAAAAAACGTGTCAGCAATTAATGCCATTTCCAATATCTTGGTTTCTGACGAAGGAGCATTGTCATCAACGGATCTTCGTGAACGATGATTCTTTGGTCCTGTGTCTGGTAAATTGTAAATTGTAAATTGTACAAATAATATACAAAAACTGATTACAACAATACACACTACACTGACTAAAATAAAGAAGTAACGGCAGGGGCGTGCTCAGTAATATCGTGAAAAAGCGTTCCAGATGTTMTCACTCTTTCTCTGTGTTTTTCTTCTCCTGTGAAGAACTGGGGATTTTATGCAAAACTGTACGAGCATTGTACGAGTA